ACATTTTTTCCCTATTGGTTTGGCCACCATTGGGCACCTCATAGCTAAATCAAATCCTGAATAATGCAATATGCATACCTTTTACTGTGCTTTGACTTTTGTTGAAGGTTCGTCTAATTCGTGTTACTGGCCCTCAAGATCTGGTCACAGCTATTCTTGTTTTATAAATCTGCCTAAGACATACCTGATTGGTTGATTAACTGGCCTGTATCTGGGCGGGGTAGAATGGGGTGGGCGTGGCTAAGGTTACTGGGCTTCCAGGACAGGAGATTCATGGGAAGCCGACAGACAAGAAGAGAGGAGGAAGGAGGACATTATGATGGATAGGACTTCAATAATGGTGTGGAAAGGCTCAAATGAAGAATACAAGCAAGTACCATGAGAATATGTATAGAAGGTAGACCAGATGAAGAGGATTAAGGTTGATGGGATTGGATGGGGGCTGCGAGATGGATGGTGAGGATATTGAGACAGTGTAATGAAATATCTGCCCGGCTCAAGGTAAATAAAGCAATTATAAAATCTAACGTGTCTATGCCTTATTATTTATGATAATGGGTTAAATAATACCACCATAATAATCTTAGGGCTAATAATAAACATTATATAGCCCAACCCTCATTTTTTAAAATTTACAACAGGATATGATCATTGTGTATTCCCCAAAGAGGCTTCATGTTGGAAGCTTGATCTTCAAAATGTCAGTTTTGGATGATGGTGGAGCTCTTTAAGGTATAGGGCTTAATAGGAGGTCCTTATGATGGTCAGAGTGTACCTCAAGAAGGATTTTTTTTTATGGAACTCCTGGTTAGTTCCCCTGGGTGTTTTTGGTTTTGGTTTTTAAATAAAACTTGGTGGTTTTAAAAGCTCAGCATCTCTGACCATCTATCTGTTCCATGTGAATTCTCCCCACATCGTGTGACACAGAGCCAAGAGACTCCTTACCAGGATAGAAATAATGGCATACTCTTGATTCTGCAGAACTGTGAGCTAAATAAACCTCTTTTCTTTATAAAGCAGCCTGACTTGAGTATTTCATTATAGTTACACAAAATGGACTTTTATAGCCTGCATTCCACAGCCTCTCCAAGGGTCCACCCATTCACTCCTGTCTCAAGCAGAGAAGGTCTCCTCGCTGTGCGCCAAACACAAGAACATGGTGTTCTCTCCAGGGATTCCTCCCCTTAGGTGGCAGAATAAAATGTGTATTTCAGCATCCTCTACTGCCTCCACAGGCAGTAGACATGGAAGGAGAGCCACATCTCGAGAGACCTTTCGTGAGAATGACCACAAAGGCTGAACTGCAGACTCCCCACCCCACCCCCCACCCCCATGAGTATGAAATTAAGAAGTTTTGGGGATCTTTCTCAACTCCAATGCTTATTCTCCGAACTTCCAAAGTATTGAAACAGGAGGAGCAGCAGCTAAGGCTGCCTCCCTAGCTCTCTCTAAAAGGTCCACTTTATCCCCAAACCCCAGGTACGTCACAAGCAGCTGCCTGGCTGATAAGGACAGAATCACCCCATTTGTTACATACTTGAACAACATCTACAAAGTTCTTTGTTTTCAGAAACCTTTTCAAAGTCCAACCTCGAAAAAGAAAATGCCTGCCCGTTTTAGCCGCTTTAAGTAGAAAAGAACATGAATGGAATCTAGTTTGAGTGGTTTTGTTTTCAAAGCGAAACTGCCTAACAGCATCATTAGTATCTCTGAGGTCCTGTAACCATAAGGCCACTAAGCCAGCCACTCTTGAGAAATAGAGTGTGACAGTTAGGTAACTCTCCTCCATGCAGCAGCTGTCCTGCCACTTTCTTTTGCTTGGATGAAGTATCTCATTCCATATTCAGAATATATACAGCACCATTCCTCCCCTTCTATCACCACCAGATTGGTTTCTGAATCTAAAAAAAAAAAAATGCATAGAGTACATCTGTCTCATGGTGAGGGATGGGGAAATTAGTACAATGATGCCTTATATGCCCGGCACAGAATAAATACTTGGTTGAGGTAACTACTAATCTGTGGTTGTTCTGAAGACATTAAAAGCTACTTAGGGCAAACTCCTGGAGGGAAAGAAAAAGAAGCACAGCTCTCTCAGATAAGTATGCAATCAAAAAGCCCAGCCTTGGGTCTTACACCACAGACAATGAGTGTGTGTTAACTCTTTGTACTAACCTTCCTTACTGAACCTGTTTCCTCCCTGCCCCGCCCCCATGAAAAAGAGGGAGAAATGATTTGGGGAAAACAAACAGACAAAGAAAAAACAATGAATTCCTTTACATGGAAAAGTAGGATACAAAATGTCCTTTTAGGACTGTGGGTGTAGCTCAGTTGACAGAGTGCTAGTCTAGCATCCTCCAAGCCCTGGTTTTGACATCCAACACTATAAACCACACACACTGGCCTATACTCCCAGGAGGTAGAGTCAGAAGGATTGGAAGTTCAAAGTCATCCTAGACCTCTATGGCAAGATCAAGGCTCACCTGGGATACCCGAGACCGTGTCTCCTGAAGGAGATTTTTCAGTTACCTGAAAGAAACTTGATCGCAAATGCGAAAGAAAACATTCTATTCTGCCTTCCAGATAGAATCATTGATAGTCAACAATTAAACTAAACTGGACCAAAACTAATTTCTGTTTCTTTCTATAACTGGTAACAGTTAAAAATGACGACCATGCTACTTGCTTGGCAGTAATACCTGTTGGTAAAAGATCATGAGAGGAGAGACGAAAACTTATGTTCTGTCATCTCCCTACTGCTTCCATGGTGGTACCTAGCTAACCTAGCAGTATAGCGAATGGATCCTATTGAAAGCACCCTCTATCACAATCAAGAGAGAAGTAAGCTCTTTTAAGTGGGGATTCAGCAATGAAATAAGGCATCACAGCTAATAAATGCAAACTACCCTAAAAACAAAACAAACAAACAAAAAATCCCAATAACTCCCAGGCGAGTGAGAACAGACATTAACATATCTTTAAAAAAAAATCCAAAAAACTTGTTTTCTGCCTATAGGGACAGCAGGTGAGCCAAGAAAACCTAGAAAAAGAATTTTAGAAGCAATTGCTAAAGGTGTCATTCACACAACCTGGGAAACACATTATACAAGTCTAGTGGAAGAAAAAAGTTGATACTTTGCCAACATACTTCCAGACAAGATGAACTAGTAGATTTGCAGCTGTGGCCATGAAACACTTGAGTTGCACTCTCTAACTGGCCTTGTTTGGACCCATACTTTCCACACTAGCCTATGGGATCTCATTTCCAGCATGCAGGCTTTGGGTAATGGGGGGGAGGGTTGAGGGGAAGGGAGTTATAGACAGCAACAAGGCCTGAGTAGCCCCAAGCTCTGTGCAGAGGGATAGCATGGTGGCTTTATTCATGAGTCCTATGATCTGGGTACTCTCTCACTGAGGGTTGACAATATTTTTTTTGTGAGGCTGAACCCTAGCTAAGGGCTTCAGAATCAGGGATGTCACTCACATCCCTGGAAGATGGCCAGCCCAGCCAGTGAGGCCCCCACCCCAGCACTGTATTCCCAGTCTTTCTTTCTTCTGACAGCTTCTCATCAGCTGAGGCCTCGGGTATCAGTTCCTGATTATTCTGTTTGATTACAAACACGTAATTTTTCTTACCCACCATCCTCATTAATCAAAGACATGCAAATTAAGAACAAAACTTGTCTCAGGGTATAAGCTAGCAGACATTCTCACTTTCTGATTGTGTGCCTATAAACTGGAAACCAACCCTCCCCGATGTGCACACCTCTGGCCTAGCAATTCACCTTCTAGGAATTTAGCCTTAACTGATCGTTAAGGCTAATGATTGTTTGAGGGAAGTGAACAATTACTTAATCACAAGGACAGCCGGTGGAGCAGTTCATAACAGAGACTACTCAGAGATCCTGCACATATTCATACTACTTTAATTTCGGAATATCTACAGTACAGCGATGCCCTGCTGCTCTCAGAGGATGTTTACTGGCTGCAAGAGCCATTCTGAAGGATGTGTTTTTGTTTCATTTTGTTAATTCCGTATTGGTCTTTCTGTTTGCTTGTTTTCTACGAGCGTTTGTTAGTAGATAAAGTGGTAGTTCTGAATCAAAGTTGAGAAGCTCCAGATGTCTGCAGTGAGGTTGGCAGGCACGGATTTGATGCCCCACCCCCACCCTCTGAGCCAACAATGAACCTCACAGAGGTACAAGTGATGGGCCTGAGGCCACCCAGTTGAGCAGTTGAGAGGCTGATGTCAACTCAGACCTATCAGACATCCCCATTGCCTCCAGATTACAGCAGAACCCCATTTCTGCCCTCCCCAACATTAGCGCCTCGCCTCAGAAGTGGGGGTTGCCGCTGCATGTTGAGTCACAATACTGGAATTAAAATGGCTTTTGTGATCTCCCTTTTAAGTGACTTTTGCAAAACAATAAAAAAACCTCTGCCGCAACAGCATCCCATGAGATCTAGAGTCTTCTGAAGTTTGTCATAAACTCCAGGCTTCTCTGAAGATGCCTCAGAATCAGCTGGGTAACATGCTGCCGGAAAGGGAAGCGTTCATAAAAATGTTCTTGCACTTTGTGCCTGGGCCCATCGCTCCATCTTTCTGTGACCAAATAATAAATAAATAAACAATAAATAAATAAATAAATAAATAAATAAATAAATAAGTAAATAAATAAATAAATAAATAGAAATTTTAAAACTACACTGGCCCCTCAGAAGCCAGCTGCGGCAGGGAAGTTCTCTTCCGAGACCTCAGGCCTAACCGGTTTCCAGCTGAAAACGACAGTTGACAAGGCCACATCTGGCCCCGCATCATCTTCTATACAGCTGTTTTCTCTTCAAGCAAATGTTCCTCTGGAGACGGTCAGGGAGCGAAGGGGAACATTCCAACTGCCCCATCTCCAAGGCCGCCGACACAGCTGCCTCTCCCAGAAGCAGACCAGCACTGGGCATGCAAAAACGGCACAAAAGGTGCAAAAGGTGGACGCCTTACTTACGGACACACATGTCCCGGCTCTCATAGAATCCAGGGCAGCACTGAGATTTGCGCCTATACATGGTTTTCTCCCCGTGGCGGTAGGCTGTCCGGTAGCTGACTCTGCGTGAAGAAAAGAGAGTGTGCCATTAGCTCCGACTGACAAGGAACAATTTCTATTTTAATAAAAGTAGCTGTCAGCTGTCATAAAGAAAAGTGTGTCGAAACAATCACAGATTCCAGGTTTGACCAGGATTTTTAAAGCTTATTATTAAGATGCTCATTCTAGTCAATCTGAACTTTATTTCAAGGGATCAAAAGTGCTGTGATTTCCATACCTCAGCTACCTTGAAATAATGTGAAAAGTGTTGACTAATTTCATATTTGATACCCATCGAGGCATCATCCGTTTATGTTCTTCAAAGGAAGAGCTCATAGGCTTTCTTTTAACATTCAGCATAGTGTCACCCTACTATAAATGAAAAGACTAATTCTATCATCCACTGTAACTGAAGCACCATTCATTCACTGATACAAAACATACATGTGTTTCTTAAGCACTTAGCATATTGTAGGCACTATTTTAGGAACTGAGGAGTGGCAGCAAGCAAAACAGTACAAATACTTTCTCTTTTTAATTTTTTAATTACAGTTTATTCACTTTGTATCCCTCCTGTAGCTCCTTCCCTACTCCCCTCCCAATCCCACCCTCCCTTCCTCTTCCTCACCTGTACCCCTCCTCCAGTACACTTATAAGGGAGATCCTTCTTCCCTTCCCTCTGATCTTAGCCTATCAGGTCTTCCTCTGTGGCCTGGTAAGGCAGCTCCCCCCTCAGAGGAGGTGATCAAAGAGCAGGCCAATCAAATACTTTCTTTTTGAGGAACTTCTACTTCTAGTAAGAGAAGATAGAGCTGGTAATTTTGTTTTTATTTATAATTTATACATATTATACTTATATATAATAGCATATAATATATTTATTTAATTTATATTGATTTAATTATATATAATTATAATAATATATTGTAATATCATAATCTATATATAATAAATTCATATTTATAATTAAAGAAACATATTAAAAACATAACTAGATCATAAAATGGCAGGTATCACAATCCATAATTCATGATACTATAAGTATTTAGCTAAGAGAATTAAGTTATCAGAGTGCCCTTCATTACAAGCACTAATATTTTTGGTGCTGTGTTCTTATGGATCATATATAACATATCATATTTATAGGCTGAATTTCAACATAAACTGAGTCAGATGTCAAACTAGAAACAGGCACTGGGGCATACATTTCTAGGTTATCCTGTGATGGTCATAGGGAAAAATGTCTCCAATTTCTGCTGGCCAACTACTCCTGAGCAGAGGGCCTGCCCTAGACTGTGTCACTTATTCAGGAAAACAGATGTTCCCTCTTTCAGCAGATATTATTTGCAAACGGCTTCTTGTTTGGGGTGGGGCTTTTGCACCCATTTCCCTCCTCTTTCCTGGGATTTTTGTCTGGCTTCAGCCTCTGCAGGCCTTGGGCATCTTCATTGGACCCCATGTTTTTTAGTGGATTTTTTTTTCATTTTTTTTTGTTTGTTTGGTTTTTATTTTTAGTTTTTAAGAAAGAAAAATAACATGAAGTTGGACATGGGGGATCTGAGAGGAACTGGGAGATGGGAAAATATAGTAATAATGTGCTATACAAAATTCTCAAAGAATTAAAAAAACAAAAGTGTCTGTCCCAGTCACTTTCTATACAGGAGCGGGTACGGTTTTTCTAAGCACAGGAAGGACAGAAGGACAGTGGATGGGCCACGTGTAGTTAGACTGTTAGTCACGAAGATCATGGACCATGTCAGCCTTCCGTTGTCCCCTGGGCTCGGGGGTCAAATCCTGCGCAAGTGCTCGTGGGTGCACAATGCACCTTCTTGGGTAGCTGCTGTCTCTGATCGTCTACGACTTGATTTCAAGCCGGTCAAACTCCTGAACACGCCCCCGCCTCGATTACCTGTGCCGTGTGCACTTAAACCAGTTCAGGATGTCGGTGCAGCTCGTGTAGTAAATCTGATCGAAGGGGTGTGGGTATGACTCCTGCACTGTCACAGAGTAGCTGAAAAGAGAAGGGGAAGCCAGGAATCAGCACTCCTCCACTTTACTTTTATGCTAGTGATATGATCCCCACATAAAAACCAAAAACAAACAAAGAATGGAGGCTAAACTATCTTTATCTGCAACCGCATCCTGATTCCCCACTCCCCCCACCCCACACTTTTGGTAGTGCTAGGGATTGAACTTACGCCTGGAATCTACATGCCCAGATCCCACGCTGGGTTTTAATAGAGAATATTCATGTATTCACAGGTTTTTAATTGAATTAGCACAACCCAAAGTCAAATATTAGCGACAAAGTAAAAGACAACAGTCTGCAATACACACTTCAATGGAAATCTTTTCCGTGTTCATGCTACCAATATTCCCAAACTTCCAACCATATCACTGTGTCTTTTCTGTATGCAATTAACAGCTCTCATCCCAGGATTCCAAGGACAACAAAGACCTTTCAAAACAAGTCCTCACCGTAGGTCAGCAGATGAGGTTAATAAGCAAAGACACAATCCCAGTATTCAAAAAGAACTACATTTCACTGGTTATTTTGAAAAAAATCAGAACAATTGGAACACTTGGCGTTCATACACTGGCCCAACTTCCCAGGCAGCAGAAATGTATAAACCATACAAAAATGAAGGCTACGGTGAGTTCTTTAAGCTCAATTATAAACCTATAAATATATAACTAGGCTGAGATTGACACAATCATGCCAGCAGCTTGCTGCCTTCTAAACATTCTTTTCTCCATTACCCTAGCACCTCCTTGGTAGAGTAGAAACATGGGATCCTGCAGCCTGGGAAAGTAAAATAAATAAATAAATAAATTATAAAGAACACTCTATGTTCAGTTCTGTACTCCTTAATTTGAAATCCTTTTTGCATGCTCCAGCATATAATTTCCACCTACAAGAAAATCAAGAGATTTTTCTTTTTCTAAAAATGTGTTCCTTTTGCTTTAAGTCTCCATTAAAATCTACACAAAACCAAAATGGGCCAAGATCACTGACTCATTTGCAGAAAAATCAATAGTGTAGGTTCATTAACAAGAATTATCAACCCGAGAATGGACAAGAGGAAGAAGAAGTTCTAACTTCTAACTTAAAGTTCTACCACGAAGAATTTGGCTAGGACGGAGGTTGTCCTGGCTGAAAAGCTGTGCCATGGGGACCTCACAAACAGTAAGTCTGAAACTGGTCTTGGTGATTATTTTTTACCTATGTGTCAATGGAAGATACATGGAATAATACTGTTTGAATTTTCTTTTATATTTCATTCTTTGGCATGCTGCAATATGTTACCTAGGGATATTTAAGGATCCTCAGGAAAATACTAGGCCCTCTGAGAAGATCCTGCAGAAGGCAAACTTGTAATTTTGAGAAGGCATGTGACCTTCCTCAGGTAATCCCACTGCTCTGGGTCTTGGTTATCACATTTTAAACAGATAAACAAGGCTGACATGAAATGCCTTCCCAGAATCTCAAATGTACACATAGGTAACCATTCTGTATCATCAGAGAGGCCCTGCTGCCCCCCAAAGGCAGAGGTTCAGGTGCAAGCTCCTGTTGGCATGAGGTGATTTATTTTGTGCAAAGCAAGAGAGAGGTCTCTGCTGCAACATCAGTGCTCTTGGAATGACATGACACGTTAAGCTACTAGTATTTTCTTCAGCAGAGTCTTGAGGTTCACACAGGTGCAAATACTGAGTCTCCCTTGCCAGTCTCTCTGTCCTCCTAGGAAGCTGCTTGCAAACAATTGAATCTTGAGGCTGCGTTATTACAGTTCTATTCTGTCCCTCTGGGCACAGACCTATGCCTCATCACCTACAGGAAAAATGGAGCCGCTTCCCATGTGTGCTTCGGAAATGAAAAGAAAAACAAATCCTTGCTCTATCGGGCTCTAGGGTATGGATCTTGTTGAAGTAAGTTAGTTTGTTGGAATCAGGCAATTGCAAAGGACAGGCTACACAACTCAGTTCAGTACACACTAGAGAGCAAAGGTGATCATTTGTACACATGTGGATACATGTGTGTTTGTGTTCCAGTACATGTGTGTGTACAGGTGTGTGTGTGGAAGCATGAGTTAACCTAAGGTCTTGCTTCTCAGGATCCAACCACCTTGTCTTTTAAGACAGGGTCTCTCCTTGGCTCAGAGATCTCTCAATAGGCTAGGCCTGCCTCCCCAGTGCTGGGCTTACAAGTGTAACAATCACCCCTGGAGGGAAGCTGTCTGTCTAGGCTGGCTGACTAATTAAAACCTTTCTATTGGAAAGAGGTTGGAAGGTTGCAGTTCCAGAACCTACTTACGGTTTCTTTTGGGCTATCACCAGCCGCTTAAGAAGCCCTTTCTTGCCCACCTCTGTCAGACCTAAGATCCTGATAAACACATGAAGAGCTTTGGAATTTAGTAGCTTAACAAAAGCCCACTCTCCCCCAGGGGGAGAGCTAAGAGTGCTTTTGATGGCACCTGAAGTCTGTAGTTGAGTTTCCTCCACCTGGCTGTAACCCGCCTCTTTGATATTTCTACCATATTCATTTTTAAATGCACTGATCTGTGACTTACTTTATTCTGTTACAATAAAAAACAAACAAAAACAAACAAAACTTCCTGAAAAAACTGTTTCCGCCTTGAAACAATGAAGCTCGGGCACCTAAATCTGTGATCCTGGCCGGTGGTCGTTCAGATTTGGCTCCAGGATAAACTCTTGTTCCCTTTGAGGTGACAGCCGTGTTTGTGTGTCTACACGAGCATGGCTGCCCTGCTGAGCTTTTACGTGGATACTAAGGTCAGACTCAGGTCTGGCTCATTCTCTACCCCTTTCTCTTTCAGTTTTAAAAGAATCCTAAAGCACGCAATGAAATCCGAAAGGGCAAACTTTTAAAATGAGAATGAGAGAGCTCTGTAACAGTTGCATTCCCAATAGGTAGCATGCTGATGTCCCTTGTGGTCTTTGGGGTTTAGTTTGAGGGTTTTGAATTTTCTTACTTTATAGTTACATAATGTCCTCTGTTTCGAAAGCTGAGAGCACATTGTAAGCTTTTTTCCCATGGTCACAAATAGTCTTTGTCAGTGGCTACACCTGGCTCACTTAGTATCTGTCACTGGGACAATTGGGCTATCACTTCTCCATGTACCTGCTGGCTGGAGGCTGAATGTTGACGTGAGGAAGGAGCATGTCTGCAAAATGGGCCACCTCTCTCAACACCCCTCTTCATCACCGTGCCTTGGTAAGTGTCTGACTGCTGTTTGAACCATGTTAGCTCCTCAGCTCACAGTCCAGGCCAGGAGCTGACCAGGAGCTGCTCCTGAGAGGCCTAAAATGTAAAGAGGGCTGTCTTCATTGTCTAGCTACAGTATACATCCGTCTAGTTTACCTCCCGCTGCGAGTAACGTGAGGTGCCAATGCTGATGATCCAGTCAGGACTTCGCACTAACAACTTCCATCAGGCCTTGACACGTCTGTCCCCGCTCAAATCGTCCCCTCTCAGAGGACACTACAGAACTCTTCAAGCCTCAAACTCGAAAGCCCCTCTGCTAAAGGAATTCGATCCCTCTGCTATCTGTGGCTTGTTTGTTTAATCTCCTCAAGCACACAGAAACATATCATCATGATTTTAACCTATTAAGCATTACAGGGGAGAAACCCCAGCAGGAATTAACTTAAGGTCACAGAACAGGAGGGGGTGAACCATCATCACTTGGACACATTCCAAAGTGGTTAATTACATTTTATCTGCCTGAATTATCTTGCTGCTTTAATCAGATATGGTAATAATCATCATTTCTTCTCTCAGCTCACTTCAGGACTGCTGATTCAATTACTGCCACTTCTCTATTACTAATTGGGGGTTTGGGAAAGGAGCCACTTCTTCTCTTTCATGCCATCTTGATAAGAATCTAGATGAAAAAGCTGGAACTCAGGAAGCACAGAAATGGGAGGGAGCCGAGCATTTCAGAGTTAATCGCTTTCCAAAGGGATGCAGTGTAGGAGTCCTTCGCTCACAGGCCTCCCCTTGTGCATTTTTCTGGATTTAATTTTCTCTCCTTCCATCTTATGAACAGTGTTCCTAGAATCGCAGTTGCAGCAGTAAAACAAGGAGTGGAGGTATCTGAAAGTAACTGTGCAGAGATCAACGGGGACACAGCTGACAGGGCCCGGCAAAGGTGAAGCTGTACACACATACCAGGGGATCTTGCAAAGATGCTGATTTTGACTCTGTAGGGCTGGTGGAGCCTAAGAACACATCTTCCACAAGGCCACACTGGAAAGCTGGGCTCTTGGCACTAAACCCCATGGTGCTCGTGGTTTTCATGGTGATGTATGAGTCTACCGTGAGCCCCACTCAAACCCTGCTACCAAGAACAAGTCCTTAGAACTGGTCTCATTTCATTCTAGTGCCATTTTTGACTGTCACTGTCTAATCTTTTACATGTATGTATGTATTGAGAGAAAGAGAGCAAGAGAGAGAGAGAGATCATATGGAAGTAAGAGGATTGAACCCAGGTCTTCAGGTTTGGCAGCAAGTGCCTTAACCCACTAAGCCATCTCAAAGGTCCTTTGTTTGATCATTTTACTTGACCTTACTACACCTTTTTATTTTTATCAAAACACTTTTTAAAATACCTCTTCTAGGAATCACCTGCTTAAAGGAAAATATTTATCAACAAGGAGGTTGCAGCTTTCCCACCCTTCTTTCCTATAGGATTATTTCAGGGTTGACTCCAGATTCTACTAGGTGTACAGATTATTGTGGCCTGTCTCTCTCATTGTGCATGCCCATATCCGTATTTGGCCATCTTATTTGTTATCAGAAGGTGGGTCTACTTTCCAATAAACATCTACTGAATACGTGCCCACAGCAAGGTCCCAGAGAGTGGGAATATCCCTGGTGAACAAGACAAGGCAGCAGTGTGTTGAAAGCTTTGCTCAAATGTGAGTAAGGAATCAAATCAAATCCGCTCTTCCAAATGAGTGATGGCTGGAATATCGCCCATTCCTTTTGGTAATCCACTCAGCAACTTCATCTCCTTGTGCTGAACATCCTAATGCTCAATTCCCAGCCACTGCCAGACAGTGTTTCTTTCTGCCTGATTTCCTAAGCCCAACACTGTCAAGCAACACTAAGCCATGTGCTGTTCACTCTCCTCCCTTCTGTGGTTTTTTCACATGGGCAATTGATGCACATTGCAAGCTCCAAGTTCTGACGGACTGGCTTCACATCACAGCCAATACATCTTCAAGACCCATTGATTTCTCTCTCCCCGCATCTCACAAGTTTAACTGTTCTTTCCTTCTGCCTAAAGCCACCAGTCACTAAGAAGTTTACCTGCCAGTTGGTCCCTTCTGTTCCTAAACTTGGTACAATATGCATTCACACACGTACAAATATTCCTGCATTCCAGATTCATTCCTACTATTTTAACAAATATTTATTGCACACTTCCATACTGAAATGTCTCAGGGAAGGTGTTATGAAGATGATAAAGATAATTAGTAGGTGCTCTTTCTATATGACACTGTTATTACCATAAATTTATGAATTTATGAACCTTGTATTACCTATTTTCTCTACAGCATAAAGTTTCTTGACATGTAACTTCATTAATTGATAGAGCAATCGTGTTTTTGTTGTCCAACAGAGATGGCAGCAAGCTCTGGTTCCAAAAGGTAATGCTAGCGGGAAGACATCTGGATGTGAGGACTGGATACTAGTGGGATGTGCAGTCTACTTGTTAATCATAGTGCTGAAGGTAACAGACAACAGCACCAAGAACTGATGGGATTGTGCTACAGCCAGTACAAATGCACATCCTCTGCTTGGTTAAACCTTTGCATGAACTTGTTATTTGGGGATAAAGACCCCTCCTGAGGCCCAAGGGCAGCTCCTCAGAGCAATGCAGTCTGCACCTGCTTATACTGTGCCAGCACAGGACAGGCTTGGGCTGTTTTCTGCTTCAGAGGGAACTAGAGGCTCCCTAAGGATGGCCTATCATTTTGTGTGTCTTGCATATTTCCTACTGTGAATTGCCCACATCTGGATACTCCATCATCTGCCTTCACGTAATCTACCTGACACTGCCTTCTCCGATGCCCCACTGACTGTTCTGAATGCCATTCTTGGTGATGTGCAAGACACTGGCTTCAAGCTATCTTCCATCTGTAGACATTCCCCCCAGGTCCCTACTAACACACACACACACACACACACACACACACACACACACACGCACACACACACATGAATGTCTTCCAGACAACCTCAGGAGACACTAACTCCATGCAGATTTTCCTCTTCATCCAAAAATCAGGCCTCCTTTTTTTTGTTGTTAATGCTTTTAGGATTCAACCCAAGGCAAGCTCTCTGTGAGCTGCAGCCCTGCCCCACATTAACCTCATACCCGTTTTGAGACAAGGTCTCGTTAACTTACCAAGTCTGACCTTAAACTGATTCTTTACTGATGGAAGACCTTCCTTGAACTCATGACCTTCCTTCCTCGCTCATGAGCAGCTGGGATTGCAGAACTGTGGCACACCAGGTCTGGCTCAGACCACCCTTCCCAAGCTGCTCATGGCACAGTTGTTCTAATCCTACATAGTTCAATGTTTTAATCCCATATAGTTCAATGAATCAGGATAGCACATGACCCTGCGCTCCTTCCCACCGCTCACCCAACATTCGCAAGTCCCGGTCCAGCTCCTCAAATTGCCTCACGCTTACAGACTTCCACCCAAATTCCAGTTAAGTCATGATTGTCTCCCTCCATCTTACAGCTGTACCCATGTTAGAGCCCCCAACAAAATACTCATTCCGAGGCCTGTAACGTGACTCAATTTATTAAACTGATTTTTGGTTTTTCACAGGAAAGTTATTTCAAAATGCCTCCTCAAATTCTGGTCCTAGGCGTCAGGCCTGGGCTGCAGATGGAAAAGACCGCTCTTGCTGTTACCTTTCCCAGTGGCTGCACACATTGGGATCTTCCAGGTTCAGAGAGGATGCTGTCATCACCCAGTGGCACAACAATGAGCAGATGAGGCCTAGGCATGAGCTTGAAGGAACAGCCATCTTCTTTGAAGAGCAATCTGCAGGAAGGAAAACAATAGAGTAGCATTAATAATCACCAAACAGAATTGTTTCTAGGAGAGCTGGAGACTCGGTGCCAGTTACCAACTAGGGCTGAAACACTCACCCTCACGCCACCTATTGAAATAGCTGGGTCACCAGGTTTCTCATGCCAGGAGAGAGAGAGAGAGAAAGAGAGAGAGAGAGAGAGAGGTGTTTCTCATGTCATGCAGGGTGCCAACCATTTTATAAATGACTACAACGGGCAGATTGTCCTTTGCTGCCACCGTGACAAAAGTTCTTCTGATCCACGTCAGCTGAAGCTAAAGAAATCAACCAGGGTAACACAGATTCTCCTATGAGGCATATTTCCTTCTGGAAGAAGAGGGACCAAAAGAGGAATCTGGCCTCATTTGTCCCCAAGAATGCATGATGAAACAGAAACATAGAGAATAGAATATAGAGAAAGGCACCTCAGGCTCAGGCTGGGATTCATAAAGTGATTATTTCATGTGCACAGAGTGCCACCCAATCCTAGGCACGACAAGAATGCAGATATCCAAAAATGCACAACCGGTACCCCTTCCCGCCCATTGAGAAGCTTAGTGACATGAGACACGTTTCTTCATATAGTGCTTCAGTTTCGCCATCTTTCTAATAAAAGCCAAATCAACTACCCTACAGTAGTTTCTTAAAAAGTGCAGACAACTGAGAAAAACGTAAAGCTGTTTAGACATCAGTGTTGAAGAAATTGAAGCTCAAGGCTATGATAGCAACGCAATAGGAAGCCTGGAAAACAGGGGAACCTGGCAGGAGTCAGAAAGACAGGATAGAAGTTCCAAGAAAGGGGTGCAGAGGCAAGGGAGGGCAGGGTGCATTTAGGGAGCTCAATTAATTCATGTGGGAGAGAGACAACAGCTGAAGAGTCTGAGAACATATCACGGCGGTTTTGTAAGCTACTGTGAAGTATGAGATTTTGACCAAGCATAACCAAAAGAATGTCAGGACAAATGGCTAACCGTGGTTCCTAGTAGCATACCAAAACACAAGCTGACTTCAAGACTCTCCCAGCATCACAAATACCTGTTACCGAGTCCATGCTGGCATCTTGGCTCTTCTCACCCCACTCCCACCGGAACTTCTCCAGCTCATGGGCTTCTCTTCCCCCAGTTCTCATTCCCATGTAACCTGCCATTTTGGCCAAGCATTCTCTGGGAGCACTCTTTTGAGTTTCTCTCTTGGCTCAGTCTCCTTTGTCTGTCCTCTCTCTCCCCACCTCTCTCTTCGCATGGTGCCGTCAAAGCTATTGACCATGTTTAGTCTACTACTTTCTCTCCCTGCTGTGAACTCTTCCAGATGCCTCTGGCTGTGCTCTCCCTCGTATCCACAGTGAAAACATTCACCTCAACCCTCTCTTGGAGCCGTCATGCCCTCACTTTATTTATACACTACTAAGGTGGGCAGAGAGAGTGACATCGCACGTCTATCAGGCAGAGGGCAGATAGACAACCACAAGTGAACTAGAAGGCAACATTGGCTACCAGGGACCTGAGTGACTCTGGAAGTGTTTTAGCAGGTGGTGTTAGGATTTAGCGGCAGAAGTATCTTGGCAGAATGGGGCCAAGGTGTGCCGCTAAGAGATCACACCATGTAAGAAATTTCATGTCAGAGCTTTCTTGTAGCTTGGGGGAGGGAGGGAGGCAAGACCATCTCAGAGCAGGGATATGAAAGAGAGAGAGGATGAGAGAAAGGGGGCCATGATGTCAGTAGGGACCCTTTAAAGGGTGCTCATGTCACATAGGAAATTACGCAACTCATGGAGACAATGGGAATGCACTTCACCTGGTGGTGGAGGGTGATGACATCTCTGGTGTTTGCTAGCGCTGAGTCCCTTAAGGGCAGGCTAGTGGAGCGCCTGCTTTCTAACAGATGAAATCTACATGGCCTGGTCACTGAATATAAGAAAAATCAAGGAAAAAGACTTGGGATTTGCCCTCAGGGGAACTAGTCACCTATCACCGAGCTCAGCTTAGATATTTTAAGATAGGGGCTCCTATTAGGAATGTAAGCAAAGCCATTACTGAACACTTATCAACCCCCTACTATGTGCAGAGACTACACCAGGAGTAAGTTTCAGAGTTGTAATGATATGCCGCAGGAACTCACATGCAGCCCTTCCCTTGCTGGAACTCAACACAAAAGGCTTCATGATCACACCGTGCCATCATCACATCATAGAAATGGACAGGGAGCTAGAAAGAGCTGTAAATAGCTATTTACAGATTTTACAAGGAAAATAAGCATTGCCTTGCCTGTGGAAAACTAGCAACAATGGACCGAATTGTCTGACTAAAGCAGTTGTTTTCTGGGTGAGAACTGGCATCTAGAAAAGTTATGCTAACTTTTCATACCACAAAAATCTCGTGGTTTGAAAAGACCATGTAATTCTGCTGCTGTTGTTTGTCTTTAGGTAGTTTGTTTTTATCTTCCTGGGGCTTGTAGCTGGGGGTCTCACACATGCTGGTAAGTGTTCCACCCCTGAGATACACGAAGCCCATGAAGGCCTTGAACTTGCAAACTTCCTGCCTTAGCCTCCCAAGTAGTTGAAATTATAGACTTGAGTTCTCAGGACTGATAATGATATTTTAAAACAAACAAACAAACAAATAAATATCAATAATATTAAACAACAGAAAAAGCAACCTAAAGACTAAGATATGATGGAACCTTCAGATTCAGAGGGACAGATCAAAAGAGCAGATATTAAATTCTTCAAGATCAAGACTGGTTACAAGGACAAATGTTTTAAACACCTTGTAATGAGTTATCTATCTCTGACATCACAAAAGAGAAATCCGGGGGTGGGGAGTATTTAAGGACGAAGGGAAACATCATGACTTTTCAGGATAATTAAAACACAGTGTAAGTCATTAAGAGAGGCTGTAAAATCTTTTAAAAGGGTTGTCATTAAATAATTCCAATATTTAAAGCACAATTAGGTAGCTAAACTATGACTCATGAGTGAGTGCAAATTAAAACTTTTCAGCCTTATGTTATAAAGCTGTGGGCTCTGCAGCTGACTATCAGAAGGTCTAAGAAACTCTGCTATGAAGAACAGGACTATAAAACAGCTCTTGATGACCTGCAGTGACCATTTGTCTTGGCTACAGTCTACTACACACAGCACTGAGGCCTGAATGCCAATGACTTCGTCTTCACAGCAACTTGCCCAGGAAGCAAGGGCTCTGACTGTCCCCACTTTACAGCTGAAGACACATGTGGCTAGTGTCTTCCCTCACCCACCAGAAAAAGAAAACCTTAAGTCTAGTTGGTTGTGACAAATCAGCAGAGAGAACCTCTCTTCTCCCATAGCTTCACTTTGTCGGGGATAAGTGTTTCCCTTCAATGAAGTGTGAAATATGCACACTTGTTTTCATTTTTTCCCTCAAAGACAAAATGAAGGCTGGTTAACGGTAATCTGCCAACGACTCATAAACAATTACCCCAAATTGGAAAGTTTATCTCCTGAGCCACCATTTCAAATCAAACCACCCATTTACCAATTAGCAATGTTTAGTCTGTAAAGTTAGAAATGGCTAACCGAACTGCCAAGAGAAAGAAAGACTTCGTGTGTTCTCTTTTAATGCAAAACTTGTGTCAGGAATTGTCCAGTTTCTTTCCTTTGCATCTGAAGCGAATAAGCTCTGGGAGGGGCTCCCAACAAGGCAGAATGTGGTCACTCTCCCTTGCTTTGGTATTTTTGTATGAGTTATTTTGTTGTTGTTGTTTATTTGCTCATGGGTGGGTGAGTGCATGTATGCATGTATGTGCCTGAAAGTTTGTGTGTCTGCATCTCTCTCTCTCTCTCTCTCTCTCTCTCTCTCTCTCTCTGTGTGTGTGTGTGTGTGTGTGTGTGTGTGTGTGTGTGTCTACAGGTCAACCTCCAGTGTCCTTCCTCAGGAGAGACTTCAGCCTTGTTTTTATAGATAGTGTCTATCACTAGGATTTGGTGAGGCTGGCTGGCCAGGGAAGCCTAGCTATCCACCTGTCTCTACCTCCCCAAAGCTAGGACTATAAGCAAGCACCATCTCGTGCTACGGCTGTTAAGTCAGGTCTTCATGAGTGCACAGTGAGTACTTTACCAGTCAGGCCAATGGGTCAGTTGCCCCTTTGTTTTTAGAATTCAGCATTTAAAACTGCCAAAGGGCAGGTTGCAGGTGGCCTTTGTGCCAGAGAACTATCAGCACAGTAAAAGGCTTGTGATCTCTCTCTCTCTCTCTCTCTCTCTCTCTCTCTCTCACACACACACACACACATAAATGATTAAATTAAAAAATTATCAGCTGGGCATAGTGGCACACCTTTAATCCTATCATTCAGGAGGCAGAGGCAGGTGGATCTCTGAGATTGAGGCCAGACTTGTCTACAAAGCATGTTTTAAGACAGCCTGGGCTACAGAGCGAAACTCTGTCTCAAAACAAATAAAAAGTTACCTAAAAATAATTTAATATTAAATAAATTTTTAAAATGGTATCACAAAAAGCATTACATGTGAGTTTATTAGAACAAAAAATGTATAAAATCAAAATATTTTTAAAGGTGTGCCCATGTCTGTGTGTTCAAGTGTGTGAAAACATGGCTTCTTCATCCCAAAGCATTTTCTTAATTTAAATTAGAACTCAAACAGCTTTCTAGGATAATATCTCTAGAATAAAATGTCTAATGCCAGAACAGTTGCTGGATCAAGATGCAGGAATCACATAAATGCAGCTACCTGGTTCAAACTGTTTAAGAAAATCGTTCAGATGTTTTATGTGCTGTGAGGAGAGAAGATAGCTCATAAATAAGATAATACACTATACAGACTGCTATAGAAACATGACATGTTACTTTAGGTAGAAACCTGGGCTGTCCTTTTGTTCTACCTTGTTTACTCAAAGTGCTGATCCTCAATATGAGTAAGATGTTGAGAGGATGATGCAAATGTTTTCAGTATTTCATTCATCTTCTTCTATGCATT